GCCCCCCCCCCCCTTCAAACCGATAAACGGTAGCAAAATGATTATTGTTGTAATGAAAGGGAAAACAGAAAACATGAAGTAAATATATTTATACAGCCTTATTTATTCTGAATTTGTTCATCGTTTTAGTTTTACAACATGACTATTTTGATTAATAATTTTTACTGTATTCTCCATTTTACAAATATTCATTAGCCATCTGATGATGTTGTAGTATTGCAACGAAATATATTATGGCGAAAATGACAGTTGTTTAAAACCTAGAGTGAGAGTGATGAGTTGGATTAGAGAGAGTAAAATCATGAAATCAGTGAAGTTTTTCCAAAAGAATTAAGAATACATTTTCTATTTTTCATTCAGGTTTTAATCAGCACAATAGGTGTAAAGTTGCAAGGTTGCAACCCCCCTCCCTATTTATTCTGTTATTCAAAATAATTGCATCATTATCCTTTAGAAGTTTATTTCTTGGGAAAACTAATGATGAATTTTCTATTTTTCATTTTTGAGGACATCGTTTCAACTAAACAACATTGCATATTCTTTATAAGACACTATATCAAGGGAAAACAGAAGCAACTGTTGAGAATGAGATCACAAAAAACATCTCAATCTCTTTTTTTTAATCCGTATGGATCATTTAGTTTTTAGAAATCCAAGCAGAATTTTTTTTCATTTGTTTATTGAAGTATTTTATCACGAAGAAATATTTATGATCTTGATCCGTATCCATTTTTCTTGGGCGAATCCAGGATCCGGAACCATTTTTCTAGGGCAAATCCAGGATCCGGATCAGCATCTTTAAATGGTTCTTAAGCACTGCCTCAAACATTAATTTTATTGTAAGTTTCTAAATCCTGGGACCGAAGATAATAAATTTGAGCTACGTCGCTAAACTACTTACTGCCTGTTCAAATTTATTAAATTCTGTCCATGTTGAGTAAGAGCAAGAATGTAATGCAAGGAAAGTTAATTGCAGTTGCGTATACTCTGCGTACATATTGAAACCAGTTCTCTCTGGACGGAATTTGTAATCAAGAATAGATGCCTCAGTGTTCGTTTAGTATCCGAGGAGGTTAAAAGCATTGAATTTTGATAATTTTGATAATTCACATTTAGTTTTCTATGACCAGAATATTTCATTGATTATTTATGTGAAAGATGGATCCCATGTCAGGCTTCGACATCCGTCTTGTGTTGACATTACCGCCCAGTGACAGTACACTGCAGTACAAAAGATACGTACACCATTAACATATCTTTCCTTGCATTATAAACTTGAGTAAGAGTAAGAATACCTGATATGTCCATATCTTGAGCATGTTGCAACACTAGATACTGTTAGAAAGGTGAGGTCTGATATCCACACGGGTACCCTTTACAGTGCACATTTCAGTTCAGTACAGTACAGTACAGTACACTACAGTACACTACAGTACAGTACAATTTTTAGTCATTGTACACTGTACAGTTAATCTAATGCGTACAGTGAAAAAGGAAACTGGGGCGGAATTTAATGATTTTGGGAGAGGGCACTGAAATATCTACTGCCGCGCCGGTTCAAATCCTGAACTACCGGTTTTAATCCTCATGAATCTTAAACTTTGAATCGGTGATTCAGGATTTGATCCTGTGGTGGGTAATTCAGCGCCCTCTCCAATTTATAGAATTTGGTCCCATGTTTTTTAACTTTTTTTCTACACTCACAACCTGATACTGTAGATAGGGATGGGCAATAGCCAGATTCGTTTTACACAAACTTTTAATATTTTCAAACTTTTAAAATGTTTTACGACAGGGTCCATCATTTTAAAACTTCATTCTGTAGAAGTTTGCGTTCATCAAACATACAAATTTGCTACCCTAGAAGAAAATATAAGGCAAAAACGATCGTTTTTTTTAAACAAATATTTTTATGTTAGGATTTTAAAATGATAGTTTTTGGTAAGTTTTTGCCTCAAATTATCACCAAGGAAAAAAAATTTACATGTTTGATAAAGCAAACTTCTACAGAATAAAGTTTTTAAATAGTGGACCCTTCTCAGATTGTCGTAACCCCTTTTAAAAGTCTAAAACTATAAAATGTTTCTGTAAAACGAACATAGCTTTGCCCATCGCTAGCTGTAGAGACTTTTATATTTTAAAGTATGAATTCTGCTAGATCAAGAAGATAAGTTGAAAATATCAAAAGGTGTCCACCATCAGTTAATAAACATAAGAGAATTGTTCTGTTCAGTTTAATACATGTGATTTTTTTTAAAATTCAATAATTCAACAATATAAAAAAAATTGTCTTACCTAAAAATTAAAAAAATTTACATTAAATTATTTTGTTTAAGTTCACCTCATTTGTAGGAAATCTGGTCTTACGTTTTTAGCTCTGAAGATTGGCTCCTTTTATCATACATGATCAAACATTTAATTAGTTTTTTAATCAATTAATCAATTTGACAATCATAACTAATTTATATAACAACTAATCAATCAATCAATCAGTTAATCAACTATCAATTAGTCAATCAACCATTTTATAAATCAATTTATAAATCAACCAATCAGCTAATCAATCAAGCAATCGTTCAATCAATCAATCAGTCATTTTACTGGCTGATAAGTCAGCTTTAAAAACAATTAATCAATTAACAAAATTGATAAATTTCACTTTTTTTAATTAACTATCTTATTAGGGAAAAAATAATTCCTCGGTAGCGTTTTTAAAATTTTGAAAATAATTGTCGTCTAACTCTCTACCATAAAAGGCAAATATAAAATTCCTTGATAAATAAAAAATGTATTTAAACATTTGGTAAATCTAATAATAACCTTTTGCAACTATTGTGTGGTTATAAATAAAACATGTAAATATTATGTTAAATAACCTGTAACCAAACATGATATAATTATCATTTATATATATATACCATTTTTCAGATAAAGGGGTTTTTAGATTATATCTTGTATGGTTTCAGATACTATATGCAAGATAGGTATAAAGAGGTTATCAGGTAACTTTCAACTATATCTAATAAAGGGGTTTTTAGATTATATTTTGTATGGTTTCAGATAGTATATGCAAGATAGGTATAAAGAGGTTATCAGGTAACTTTCAACTATATCTAATAAAATCAAACTAAAAGAATTTAAAACATGTAAATACTATGTTAAATAACCTGTAACCAGACATGATATAATTATCATTTATATATATATACCAAGTTTCAGATAAAGGGGTTTTTAGATTATATCTTGTATGGTTTCAGATAGTATATGCAAGATAGGTATTAATAGGTTATCAGGTAACTTTCAACTATATCTAATAAAGGGGTTTTATATTATAGTTTGTATGGTTTCAGATAGTATATGCAAGATAGGTACCTCTGCCTCCCCGCCTCCCCGCCCCAAAACAAAAATAGAAGAGAAAAAAGTTTCCTGGATGAATTTTCCAATTTCGAATTCAATAATCCCACTTCGCATATTTCATGAGAAATTCGAATGTTTTAAGATACACACAACTTTTTTGAAAATCATGCATGTGGAGAATGAAGATGGGTGGCAAATAAAAACTTTTCACGTATGTTTTAGATTGATCCAATTTATTTATCTAAATTGTGCCAAAATACAATACATTTAGGCAAACTTTAGGTTTCTTAGGTTTTAAAAACGCTCCGCAACCCTTTTCTAACAATTTTAGCTTTTAAATAACGCTTTTAAAGTAAATAATATAAATAAAAATTTCATAAATTTTTCGGTTAAAAATTTACTGACGACACTGAAACAGACAAGCAGGGGTGAATATTTTTTAGAATGATTTTGAAGATCTCAGGGGGAAAATGTGAAAATCATATACCAGGTTTTTTCATCCTTTTTTATACTTTTTACTCTAAAATTTATCTGTTTAACCTTAAAAATCATTTATTTTCTCAAATTGCAAATTGAGCGAACTACCATAGAACTTTAAGGGAAAATAAATTTTCAAAGCGGGGGGGGGGGGGTGTTAAATATACACCCCTGCAAAAAGCCATATACATATAAAGATGTCTGCCATTTTTTTAAGTGTGCACCATTTTGCTGATTATATCGTGTATGCCTGAATACTCTTGTCTAAATCCCAAATCTGTAGATCCAACTCCTTTCCACCAACTGCGACCAGATTCTTAGATTCTCTACACTGCCGCAGTCTACACAGCTTCCTCCCTTAACATAGCCGAATTTAATTAATTGGATAGGTTGCTGACTTACCTACAGCCGGTTCAAATCTTGAATCACCGCTTCAAATCCTGGGGAAAATTTAACTTTGAATCGGTAAATCAAATTGGAACCAGCGGTAGATGGTTCAGCGACCTAGTTCAAAATTCATTTAATATGGTTCCAGGTCTAGATCGAACTATGCAAGCTTTGAGCAATGAATTAACAATAACCTGAGATCGGACTGAATAATATGATAATCTTATGAGGAAAAAAATGTAATAATGAAAATTCTTAAACGAGATGAAATAATCTTGACGTATTCTTTAACAAAGTGAATAGTATTATTTGTAGTTCTCGTCGTGCTTGATAATATGTTGGAAATAGTTTCTTCAATTGATATTTGCACTCGGCACCAGAAGCGTTATTAAACCAAACCTTACACTCAGTGTAAGGTTTTAAACATAAGTTTGGTTTGGAAATTTCTTCTCCTGTATTAAGTTGTGGTTAGTGGAGGATAAGTCATATTAAAAAATGAAAAAATTACGCATTGAGTGTTCACTAATTTCTTCAACTTCAGTATTACCTATCTTTAGGCTCTCTGCATGCTTCTCCTTCTCTTCTTCAGTCATAACAATCTCCTTTCCTAGTTTTCCCATCCTTCTCACCTTCATCCAACATACATTCATTCATCTTGGTTTACTTGTCATTACTTCTAAATGTGTCTGTTATTGGTCGTTACTTTACGTTACTTGTAGTTAATTGTTGTTTCATGTCGTTTCCAGTCCTTTCAGGGGGTTTCTAGTCATTTCCAGTCGTTTCCAGTCTTTTCTCGTCGTTGCTGGTTGTTTAGAATCGTTTGTAGTTGTTTGTAGTTGATTCTAATCGTTTCTAGTCATTTCTGGTCGTTTCTATTTCGATTCTATTTTTTGTTTCTATTTTTCGTTTCTATTTCGTTTCTATTTTGTTTCTATTTCGTTTCCATTTCGTTTCCATTTCGTTTCCATTTCGTTGAAGTATATTCTACCATGATGTGCAATTCTAATTCGCTATCTGTACTAATAATATTATTATCTAACTATTTGTATATTGACCCAGCCGGGCTAGCCCGGTCAGTTCATTTTACCTGTTTATAAATAAAGTAGTTGAATATCATTTGTTGATTAGAACGGACGTATACAGAGCCTTGAGTGTTGGCTAGAGATAGAGAGCCTTGAGTTTTGGCTAGAGATTTAGTTAAATATGATCTCATTAGACTTTGAGTAAAGTAATCGTTAGAGAATTAGCGTCTAGATTTGTTACAAAAGTGGTGGCAGCCGTGGCAGCGGTGGGATTTAAAATAACCCTAAATCTAGATGCCGGAGACCCCGAAATTATTTCGGAAGAAGATTAGAGTGAAGAATTTTTTTAACGGGTTAGCCAGAGAAGTGTTAACCGGAGAAGAGTTGCCTGGGAGAGTTCCAAGTGTGAATCCAGGAAATACAGTGGCTACCTCGCAGGGTTATCCTAGTTTACCCAGCGACGATTCTGAATCGGAAGGAGAGATGGAGGGACCATCTCACCCAGGACTAGACGGCATGGCGGAGATAAGGCAGCAGTTCCAGATGCTACAAGCTCAGTTGGCGGAGACTAAGGATAAATTGGCGAGTATTGAGCAGAAAGATAAGGAGAAATCATTCGCCCAGACATGGCAAGAGGTAGCTACACCGGAAACACAGGATCCTATCGGAAGAGTAGTTGCAATACTAGAATGTACTAAGGTAGAAGATGCTCAGGTGGATTACTTAAATTATCTGAAGGCGGAGAAGGCAGCTGGTAGATGAGATAGACAGACGTTGAGAGATCTGAGCAGGGCGGAGGCTGAGTACAAGAAGAGGATGTTGGAGTTTAGCTGCAAAGCTCCGACCTAAGATGGTAATCCTGCCAAAGTATTTGACTGGTGTGGTGAGTTAGAGAAACATCTGTCAAGAAATGAGTGTGAAACGATCCCCAATGAGGCAATAAAGAGGATGTTACTCGACTGAATAATAGGAAAGGCACAGTCTGAGATCGTATTGTTGAAACCTGATGGGTTGGCTTTTGACAACTACGAGATTGGTGAGTTCTT